AAAAAAATTTACCTCTTCAAAATCTTGGTGCGTCTTATATGCCGAAAAATACGGCATATACCACTTCACAGTGTTTTACAGCTCTCTCTAAGCAGCTAATAAAGTCGACCCTCTGGATCCTCATTTTTGCCCTCGGCCATCTGGGTCCTCATTTTACGGACCTCGGAAGGATGGATGGCTGAGTCAACCTTGAGCTGGTAAAGATCGAACTCCAGGCTGTGGGCAGAGTCAGCCTGCAATACTGCAGTTTAACCACTAGGTCACCAGGGGAGACAACTCTGAGTGGACTTTGCTTAATGAGCTAATACATGGGCCAGGATTTCGGTCGTAAAGCATCACTAGCATGGCAAACGTCACGTGATAGCACCGCATAGTGACGGCAGCTTCACTAGTCCTAGTTATGGTTGATAGTGCCGTTGTTAAGGGAGGACTCCATGCTTTTCCCGCCCTGCCCTGCTCACCTTCGGCTTAATACTCCTCACTCCCTTATCTCCCCTCCTCCGACCACCTTGCAACTCTGCCATGACCCATCACTGACCTTCACCATCTTCTTCCTCCCACTGGTGACAAGATGCGCTCGGCTGAGGCAGCTGCGAATTGCTGATATGTGGGACTTACGTACAAGTAGTCCTCGACTTACGACCACAGTTCAGCCCAAAATCTATGGTGCTAAGCGAGACAATTTGTTCGGTGGGCTTTTGCCCCGCTTTACCACCTCTCTTCCCACAGTTGTTAAGTGAACACCCCTGCAGTTGTTAAGTAAGACGTTTGTTAAGGGAAATGTGGTTCTCTTGTCCGAAGATCGCAAAAGGGGATGATGTGACACCAGGATGGTCCAAAAGTCATAAAGATGAACCAGTTGCCAAGCATTTGAATGTAAATCATGTGTACAGGCAGTCCCTAACTTACAACAGTTCGTTTAGTGACTGTCCGAAATTACAACAGCCCTGAAAAAAGTGGCTCATGTCCATTTTTCACACTTATGACCGCTGCATCATCCCCATGGTCACATGATTTCCATTCAGATGCTTGACAACTGACTCACGTTTTGGATGGTTGCAGTGTCCCCGGAAGTCACGTATTGTGGCCTGCCAGTGGCCAGTGGATCTGGCAGGAGATTCGGACAGTGAGGAGGTTGGGGAGGAAGATGGGCCAGTCCTGGAGTCTGGGGAAGGCTCTGATGAGGGCTCTGTGTCGGAGGCAGAGAGGCGGCCAGGGCTGACTGACATTTATCAGCTGCCTTTGGACATCAGTGGGTCAGAAGAACAGCTGGAGCCTGTTCTCGATGTATGCATGCACAGAGCTG